TATATATATACATACATTTTTTTTTTTCTGTTGGCGCTACAGACCATGAAGATCTTTGACCACGAGTGTGGTCTCCACATCCCGATTCCCAATTCAAAGTGTGCGGTAGGGTCGGTGTGAATTGCCTCCAGTATGCTGGCGGCTCTCACATTTTCTTGGTGGACGGTCACCCATCTAAGTTCTACGCCCGGCGTTGCTTAACTTTTATTACCAACTGCAAGCGCCTTAGCCCGCAAGACTACCCCCGTATATATATATACTACCCCCTTAGCCCCCATATATATATATACATTATGTCTACGTAAATTACAATAACTAATAGGGCATGGGAATTAGTGCTGATGTATATAAAGTTTAATGTCTATTGATCTAAAAATTTTAAAAATTAACATAATCCTATAACAGTTGGGGAATACCCCAATCTGGTGACCCTATAATTACACTTGGGCTTATGAACTCTGTTTTTTTAGGAATCGCTGTTATTATCTTTGACCAAAGAAGCAATTTATTTCTTATGGTATTGGATGACTAAGGCTGTAACAACGGAAAGCTAACCACAAGAAGTTCTGTCGTGGTCATTCGACGGGTTCTTAATCCCTCAGAAAGAAAAAAACTGAGAGAAGAATGATGATTTAATATTTTTATTTTTTCCTTCATGAAATTGGAAAGAAGTCTTGTCAATACAACCTTTTATTTATATCTAAAGACTATGAAGGGAAATTGAATAAATGTTTGTTAGAATACGTAGAGTGGATATTTTTTTTTATTTCAAATAGTAAACGCTACTGACATCAACGATTAAAGATTCACAATACAAATTAATTAATTTTTCAGGCATGTTTCATCTTGATGTATATTTTTCACGAAGATCCATTGATTAAATTTATTTATTTAACACTTGAAGGAATCTGCACGTTAAAGTTTTTCCAAAAGTTCTTTAGTAAATAGATGCCAACATTATGTCTTAATTTATTCGTGTGCTTTTCCCTCCGGCTTTCAATGTTTAAAATTTTCCCTGAATACTGTCTTGTATATTAATTTAAAGACTGTTGGATTGAGATATTAAAAGTTCTTTATTGAGATATTAAACAACTTTTGGCGATCGCCAGATTGAAAACGCCCCAATTCCGAGAATTTTCATAAATAAGAAAGTTGTTGGTTATGGTGAGATAAAGCTATTCAAGAAGTTTTAAGCGAGTGTTAGTAATTCGATAAAAAGGGATCTGCAAGACGAACATTTATTATTGCCTTAATTTTATGTTATGATGTGTAAGAGTTGAATTCTGACTGCTCTTTAGGTTAGTGAAAATAATAACTTACAAAAGTGAGATTTACATTTGAATGCAGTACTTGAAGAATTCGATATTTATACACAGATGACGAGAGGGAAATATAGACTTATGCATGTTGACATACGCTCTTTCAAAGACCTTCGTGGCGGTTTCTATAGCAAAAACTTGTGTGTGTAAGGTTTCATCGATATTATGAGAAAAAAAAAATTAACTATCTTCTGTGCCATTTCCATTTTTCATCTGGATTAATAAATTTTAATTATAAACAACAATGTTGAGTGCCATCCTTACGGCAGGGCAATGAGCCTACATGGAGGAGACCCCCGCCATTGACTACAATTGTAAAAAATATTTCACTATTGTTTATATTTCATTATTGTTCAAAAAAAAATATTAAGCGTATGAAAATAAATCAATTTAATTAGACACGTATTGCATATGTAAATTCAAATATCACTTAATATAAAACAGACTACGAAATAAATTAATTTTAATGGGGACACACGATATCATTTCTAGGGATCGGCACTAACATATTTGCAAAATCATTATTGGATGTATTCCATTTGTAGCTTGGCAAAGGATTGTGCAGTTCCATTTTCCATTAATTACTCGAATAATTTTTATCTAATATGCAATATAACTAATCTAAAATATATGAATGCCTGAGTGAAACAACTCTCATACATTTTTTCCCATCTTCAATAAAAATCTAATCCAGCTGCCTTGTCCATAATTACCGTTGCGTGATAAACCACTATAACTGCCCCACCACCTATGTTTCGAATAAAAAGTAGATATAAATAAACATGGAACCTTTTAATAAGAGGGTGGCCCACGTGGGCCAATATAGAGCAGTCAAAATGAATCGTTTTCACACTTATCATATTTTAAATGTCAATGACCTCAAAAATTTAAGATGCTCTACAATCTCTTTATTTTTTTTATTCCTTATACTATATTGATGCTGACTTAAATAGTTTTTGAATATAATCTATTCTTTATGCACTAAAGAATATATTACTTTTGGGCCATTTGACATTCTTATTTGCCGTCTGTTGCAAACTACTTATCTATAAGTATTTTAACTAAAAGACTAGACCTTACTCAGGTAACATATTTATATATTCAATTTCAATATATTTTTTTTTAATTCTTTGTTTCGATGTTTAGGCGCACAACATCCAGGTCATCAGCGCCCGATCAATTAAATAACACTACTTTTATACTGTTCAGGTGGTTGGTACAAAATAAATAAATAACATAAAAAAAAGTAATAACAGAACTAATATAATAAAATTAATAAATAATGATAATAATAGACACTTATAGATAATTAGATAGAATAGATAAATTAATAAAAAAATTAATAAATGAATTGAAAGTAATAAATCAACGAACTTTTAAAATTAAGAAAAAATAAATAATAAATATGTAATTTTATCATTTTTTATTCTTGCCACAATATAACCAACCATTGCCCAAATGACAGAATGTTATATTATTCATTAAATAGATTGTTAAAAATTAGCATTCGATCTTTTTTTTTTTTTTTTGGTAAATATCTGAGATTATAATAGTCTCACCCAAATATGTGTTATATAATAGTGATCATCTTGTGTAATATAGTAACGCTGCATGATTAGTTATATGAAAAAATGGAAAAAAATGAATGTGTTAATGATATGTCCAAGAGATTGATTAATTAATTAATGTTATTCAAAAGATCAATATGTGTGAAGTGCTCCTATGTAGTAGTGGCGCACTACTTTAAATAAAGTATTTTTCTCTTTCTGCGATAATATTAAGAAATAATTATATATTATAATATTTTTGCGTTTACTTACCAGTGATATTTTTACATTCAATATTTTTTTTATGTAGCTACACTTTGATGGTATCATATTTCTTCCTTTTTTGTAATAAACCATATTTCGGTGTTATGCAAGATTTTTTAGATAAAATTTTTAAGTCTAGAAAGGTGGCAGAACATCACTAAACATTCAAAATAATTGCATTAGTAACAAACAATCGTAGATATCGAAAGTTTTTTAATATCCAAACTTCAATATCAATATCATTACACTTAAATCAATTTTTTGATGAAAAATAATATATTTTTTTCTACCATCATTAAGATTTTCCACCATAGTTACTATAGCAAATTTATTAAAGTTCGGGATTCGAATTCAATTTTTTGTGAGGTTTCTAGTTTTTATTTTTATTATCATTAATTAATATTGATGAAAATGAATGAAACTATATGGGATGAAGTTTAAGTGGTCATGTTCAGAAATTCAATTTTTTTTTTAATTTTGAGTAAGTGAAAATTTAAGCTAAAATTCTCCTGTAAAGAATGTAAATGAGGTTCATTATCAAAGGAACATATTCAAATACTATCGATTTTTAGATATCGCCATTGTCTATCAATGTGTTCTTTTTCAGATTTCTTCGACACAAGAGTTTAATATAGTACTACCAGAGGTGTGGAGGCAGCATCAGCTGCATTTTTTTATTTATTTATTTTTTTTTACTTTATAGCTGATTGAATATTAACACAATATTCCACACTCATGGGCAATAAGCATTATAGCTAAAAGTATCCAATTATACAATATATATATATATATATATATATATATATATATATATATATATATATATATATATATATATATATATATATATATATATATACAACACAAATAAATGAAAGTAATTAAAACAAATAAAGATGACAAAAAAATAAATAAAACAAAGTAACTTGAAATGAACAAAATAAAAAATATAAAATAGCAATAAGTAAAGAAAATGTAGTTATATAAGTAAAAAAAAAAATATGTACATCATAAATTAAATATATATATATAAATATACAATGGTCACAAAATCTATATATAACAAAAGTAAGTTAAAAGTAAATACAAAAATAAAATAAGATTTAATAAGTAAATAAAATTCTTCTAAAGCTATATAAATGTAGCAGACATTAGGCTTCAGTTTTTTCAGCAATAAATCCGTTGTCAACCCATATTTATATTTTCTCTTAAAGATTTACTACAACACTATCAAACTCTAGAAACAAATTTAAAATATAAACATTCTGTAAAAAATGAAATTTTAAATTAGATTTTGAAAAAAAAAAAAATTATAACATTAACCTATTCAATGTTCTATACAATATGAAAGGGTATTTAAAATGCTGTAAAATATCAACCCTAGACATCTAGCTAAATTGAGAGAAGATCTATGGCAATTTTTAATCTCGCTATTTTCTATTTTTGAGTTCTTAACAGCTGTCTGGTTTAAGAAACAGTTGACTTATCTCAGTGAAATTTTATACTTTTACAAGTTTGAACAGATGGTACAACTGTGCCGAATTTCAAGAAAATCAGAGATTGTGAGGTTCAGACCTTGTGTGTTGAATCGACATGGAATGATCTAAAAGTGTGCTAGCTGCGGAACCTAAATAACCAAAGAGGCCGAAGGAATCCTCATAAGGCCAAGCCGCAAAGGAAGAATCAAAGCGAACACATTATTGTGGCCCTCAGGTGTAATTAACCCACAAAGCTAAGATAAAGGCGATCGATTAACCTAGTGACCAATTTCGTCTGACAAAGGACTGTAACTGAGCCGGGTAATGTCTTAATCAGCGTGATATCGATTACCGCCGAGGATTATGGATTACTGCCGCCAGCTATCTCGCAAATGACTCTCCTGATAAGTGACCGAAAGGCTTTCAATGGCAATTGCGCGAGGTTATTCCGTGATTCAAATAGTACATTAACGACGGATAACGATCAATATTACCCCAGAAGTAACTACCAAGCAGTTACTACTCGTCATCTTGGAGACGACTCAGATCTGGAACGTGAAGAACTTTGCAAAACTTTTCTTCGCAGAAGTTAAATTGAATGCTACAACTCACAAGGTATATTCTCCGTTAGGATTCCATAACCATTTCAGTGCCTTCCCTAAAGAAACCAATCTTTTTATAGTCAAATTGAATTAAATATTTTATTCAGTAAAAGATCCAGATTGTGGGACATATATATTATTACTGTATTGTATGATTAAAAGTAGTTTTACATATTTGATAAATATAAACCATACAAAGCAGAAATTTAATATAAGAAGAAGAAATAAGAGGAAGTAATGCTCAATGAAATGCTCGGATGAAACAAGATGGGAAGTACAGTATGATAGCTCGGAAGAAACAACCTCTCGACAAGAGACATATCAGTTCTATATATCAAATCAAGTTACACTGTTATGTTTATATAAACAATTAAATAGCAAAACTGTAAATCACAGAAGGTAAGTTCCTTTAGTATTCCATAGAGTGCGATCGATAAATTTCAGAAAGTAAGATGAGAAAAATAAAGTAAAGTAAACTAAAAAAAAATCAGAAATACCGAAACTTTACCCATCCTAATTGAATGAACTTCCGTATTCACTTAATTATCTTGGTAGATTGATATAGCAATTGATATCTAATAATATCTAAACTTGGGGTAGTATTCGAGTGCCTGCCACCTCCGAACAAAACTTAAGACTGATGTTTACATGTACCGATACATGGGACCGAAATTTATTTACCTGAATCCGTAACAACAAATAAAAGACGTCCCACTATAACACCACATTTATATATTCGTAGATGCGTTGGCGCATACTATCCGATCTGGTTGGAACAAACGATGGGACTCCCTAAAAAAAAAATAAATTAAAATTAAAATAATCAACATAGATGCTGTAAAACAACGAATATAATAAATATAAGAATAGAAATTAATATAATGTTTATAAGGTATATTAATTTTATTTTATTTTTTTTAATTTTGCATGTTGGTTACGTGTATATTTGAAAGTATATTAACAAACCTTTTGAATATATTATATTTTCATTTTTATTTAAAGGCTTTGACAGTGAGATGAATTCTAAATTCCCCGATGCTTCAAATTAATTTATTTTAGTTTATATATTTTATTCATTCATGCAGAGTAATTGTTATTAATTTGATTTTCGAAATACTACGGAGGCAAAGCGATATTTTCGACCCCTCTCTACTTTTATTGGAGGACCGATCGTCCCTCTCAACCCCCCATTCCTCCACCTCTTTCCCGAAATCTGCATTTATGCGTAAATATCAATTTCCGTATCATTCTACCAAGATTTTTAAGTACATATTGAAGTACATTATCTTAGGGTTCATGGAATTTCCCGATTTCTGGATCTTTTTTTCAATTTTAATTCATTTTTTTTTTAAATATTAGAATAATCCTCCTTGCATATGATGATGATGTCTGCAAACGATAACGTGATTATAATATATGCATTTTTATTGTGACCTTTGATAATAATTTTTATTTTTTTTTAAAGATGATTATCATATAAACATGCAAGAACAAAACAAAAATAATATGCAAAAATTGTTGAAAAGTCATACGAGGCCAGTGACATTCACAAAGGCTCAGCAGATGAGACGCTCAATTCCCTCAGATCGTTTTTCAATATCCATTGTGTGCTGCCACAACAGGGATTTCCGATGGTTCGTTCCTCTTGTTGCACCAAATGTTCCAAAAGGACAGCAATCGCACCTGCTTGGCGAGATTCCTTCGCCGTTTGTCACAGCGGTTGGGCGACACGTGGGTGCGTACCGGCAAAACTGGTTTTTTCCAACGGAAATTCTACACGTCTCTGGTTTAAAAAAGTTGGCAGGCAAAGGTCTTCTCTTTTTTCATCTCTTTGGTTTATTAATCTTAATTAGGAACTCTTTTTTGGTCTTATTTGCATTTCAACTTCTAGTTTGTCTGGTTTCATTTGTCTTTATTTACAACATACGCATCGCCTGAAAATAAAGTTTGAATCACACACGAGGAAGGAGGAACAAGGAAAACTTTGTCGGTTGAATGACACTGGTTGGCCTAAATTCAGAATACAGTTGTTCAAAATAAAAGAAATCTTCAAGTCCTTGGCATTGTTCGGACAACTGATTCTGTGTCGTTCGTCTTGCTTTTTGATTTATGTTTTGTTTTCGTCATTATTTTCCATCGAAATTCAGCTGTTAAGTCTACATTAGATTGATTTACAATTAATTAATTATTTATAATCACTGAGAATCTTTTGTTATGTAGAAAAAATGTACCTCTGAAACAATTAAGCAATACGCTTTTAAATTATTACTCATTTTTAATTATTGCTATCCTTCGATTCTGTCGCTTGTCATCATCAATATCACAGGCGCTACATCCCGGTAGAGTTCTTTGTCGCATCAAGTCGTCACCTCCATTCATCGTTATCTTGCATCGGGGTCTGTCAAGTTGTGGTGTTCAGAATCTTCGGTGGATCGGTTTCAAACTCATCTGCTCATCTCTTTCTTCTTACACGTTTCATCCTCATATCCGAAGAGTAGTATCCTAGTTGCTTATTTCCTTCCTCTCTTGTCACATGACCCGGCCACCGTAGTTTTCATAGCTTGGTAAGTAGTATCAAATCCGTCTTGTGATATATTTCGTACAATTCTACATTATATTTCAGCCTGTATTAGTCACCATCCACTACAGGACCAAACATTCTTATTTTTTTATATGAATTTTCTCATGAAAACCTATTAACTAGTGGCACATGATAACGGGAACGTCTTTGAGGTGTACGTTAGTACAGACCTAATTATTTATTCGTACAGAGAGATCATTGTATTGCTTGACGGTAAATGACAAGCCAGAATAACACCAACTACGCTGTCATAATTAGTACCTATACCTCTGTGTTGGACATATTTCCTGGACCAACTGAATACACAAAATTATTTTCACTTTCAGAGGTGTATTCCCCAAACAGTGGGTATTGGTGACCATGGGATGGTTGGTAAGCCTACCTTTAATCTACATCAAAATTGATTGGAAAACAACACCGGATGTTTTTATTTTGAAATATAAAACTCAGACTAACATACTCTTTACAATGGAATTATTGTTGAAGCAATACTGCGATAAAAATGGGCTTCTGAAGTTGATCCAAAGTTTAAAGGAAACAATTATAGAGAAAAAGAATGGTAGGGGCTAACGGACTAGGTTTGCGTTTTGGAAGGATTTGCCTAAATAAATTGTTTTGATAAAGATCTTATAGTGATTTCTCTCAGGATTCTGCAGGCAATGTTAGTATTGAACCACTCTAAATCAAATTGAAGAATGAGTTAATTAAATCATTCTACAAGACAGAGGAATTTAATCATGTGTATGGTTCGAAAAAAAAAATCCTTAAAAATTGTTTGGCTTGTTAGCCAAATAAATTTAAAATATTGAAATTTTTAAGCAAATAAGTTGCATAGATTTTTTCACTCAAAATAAACACAGAAAAGTATTAAAATAAAACTAGTATTGAAGATATCATTTAACAATTTCGAGGGGGTGCAATATTTTTAATTACATTTCGCTTTGAAAATTCCTGTGGACAGATTTTTTTTTTATTATTAAAATTTACATCATTTATTCATTAAAATTGCATAAAATCATTTATTGTATTAAATGATAAATACAATAAGTAAATATGAAACACGTAACATGACATGTACAACAAGCAGAGAAACTACCCATTGGTAGCACTCCAATTATATTTCTATATTAGAAGGTCCCGAGGCCATCTTCTTTTCAGACGCCTCGGAGGAGCGCAAGAGGAAGCGCGGTTGGAAACAATAGTGTTCGGATGGTTCAGAAGTTTATTATGGAAGAGTACGTATCTGGATTGAGCTAAATCGGAAATATATGGAACATTAAAGTCTTTATGGATCATTCCATTTGTGACAAACTAAGGAGCATTCGGATTTTACGAAATTTTTGGATTGTAGGGATTGGTTACGAGAGGAATTTGATGGTTTAGTAAAGCCCCAAAGCTTGATCCCGTAAGTCTAAATAGGCCTTATTATAGTCATATATATGAGTCTTTTGTAAATAGTTGGAAGTTTAGAGCGTTTGTCTAGTAAGTGCTGCAGTAGGCGAAAACGTCGGGTGGTTTCTAGTCGTTTTAGTTTGGTATGGGGGTGACAGAATATTTGAATTACTATTTGACATATTAAAAAAAAAACTATGGAAACGACAAATAACAATATTTTTAAAATTAAATTTAGTTAGTCGTAAACTATGTCCTCTTGTCCTACAGTATCCTTTAATAATACCCCACTTATCCCTGTTGAACAAATTCGATACATTTGACTCCACTTAGACAAACGTCTAACTTGGAATCCTCATACCAGACTGAAACGACAAGAAGTTTCCGACTACTCCAGCACTTACTAGACAAACGCTAGTCTAACCTCCCAGTCAATTACAAAAGACTCATATACATGACTACAATAAGACCTATTTGGACTTACGGAGTTAAGCTCTGGGGCTCAACTAAGCCATCGAATTCCTCTCGTATTGAATCCTTACAATCCAAAATCCTTCGTAAAATCCTCACTGCTCCTTACTTTGTCACAAACAAAATCATCCATAACGACCTTAATATTCCTTATGTTTCTGACCTGGCCCAATCCAGATACCTATCCTTCCATAACAAACTTCAGAACCATTCAAACCCTCTCGTTTCTAACCTTGCTTCCTCTTCGATCCCTGACAACCCTCAGAGGCGTCTGAAAAGAAGATGGCCTCGAGATCTCCTTTTGTAAATACATTTTTAGAGTGCTACCAATGGGTAGTTTCTCAACATGTGATTTCATGCTATTTTATTCCTTTTTTCACATTTACTGAATGTATTTTTACTTGTAATACAGTTGTAAATATCATCAATAAAAAAAAATAAATAAAAAAAAATTAGTTAATTGTAAGCACTGAACTAAGCATAATGGTAATGAAACTCTATTCATGCTGTATTTTACTGTATTTATTATTATAAAAATAATACAACATTGATGGTATGAATTTTCGTCCGGTCATGTAACGTAGAGGAGCTAAAGGTAAGATCCCAGACGACACGAAAAGCACGAAAGCATTTGATTTACACGGAGATAGGACTCGAGATGGCAAGAGTTACGTGACAGCAGAGAAAAAAGGGAACAAGTTCCTCCTTGGTCTCATAAATGTTGAGCTCCCTAGTTGATCATATCTCACTGCTATTGCTTTATAGGTTTATACTCTCTGTTTGTAGTAGCACTGCTTATCTAGAATGATATATTTACTCGACCTCATAAAAGAGGATGCAGTTATATTATTATGGCTACGTTGTATGATCTGCAGTTAGACATGTGGATTCAACGTGATGCAACCAAACTAAATAACAAATTAATATTTCGAAAATCCAATTATATGAATAATATTATCCATTTTAAATCTATTTTCTTGCATATCTTATTAAACAACTAAGGAGAATTTCAGAGAAATTGATGTCTACAAATATTTAAATTTTGTATAGTCATAAGATTTCCAACCCCACACGAAACTCGAAACTTTCGGATTTTGAAATGCACCGTTACCTGGAACGGAATCTTCTTTCTAAGATCGGTTAGAAATCAACCACTATTGCACCAATTTTAAATAATTTATGTTAATTTCACTGACCATCTGATACGGTCTTTAAGTAGAGTAACATGACATGGTTAACGTAATTTATTTCTCTTTATTATTCCCTTCATTATTTATTTATTTTTTATTGAGAAATGTTACAATTGTTCTCAGTTTAAGACACTTATGATAGATATCAAAGAACATATTTACACCATATTACATTATTTATTAGTGCACAATTCGAAAAAGTGATTGATTGTCTTCGCTTCCCAACCAATATTTGTATAAATATGTTAAAGGTCAGATAGGTTATTTTAATTTATTTTCTTGTATTTGTTTCATATATTTATATAAATATTGAGCTTATTAATTAGAAACAAAATTCAACATTTTTTTTTCTTTAATAAATAACGTATGACACAAGACTATATTATAAGTAGGCATATCTCCTCAAAATAGAATTATTCCAACATTTTTTTAATTATTATTTTTTTTATTTTAACCCTTTTGGTTTTCAGAATATTGACAATTTACATGCATCACAAACATTCATTTGATTTTATATGAAACTAACAAAAAATTGTGAATGCGTAAAATATAATAATATTTTTTTTCAGTAATTTGAGCTAAAATCGTTTCATTCTATTGTTCTCAGCATTTGAGCCAATAAACTTAAAATTCGGTGCCGCCATTCTCTCAAAAAATCGTTACATACCTTTCAACGGTCAGATTAAACACTTATTATACAATAATCTATCAGTGCTTTGAGGCTTAATTGTTTCATAACAATTCGACTTATCAAACTTGAAATTGTTTGCGTATCTACAAGCGGTCAACTCAAACACATAACCCCCTTTCGACTTAGTCATAATCGAGTAAAAGTCAATACTTGTTCGTAAAATATTTATTTTTTTAAATGTCTCAATACTGCTTTGAATTTTAATATATTAATATAAATTTTAATATATTTTTTCATTACAATACAGCTGTGAATATAATGAAAATCTCCAAACCACCGAGTATGAAAATTACAAAAAAAAAAAAAATCTAGATAATGGTGAAGACATCGTACAAGTTTGAAGTTGTTCCAAGCTGTTCGGTAATTAATGTTCATCTGTACCAGCTGCTCCTACATTGGCAACTTTATTCAGGACAAAGTCTTCCAACTTCACTCGTTGCGCTCACACCAATCAGGTGAAACTCTAGCAATCTGCCTGTAATTAGTCTTGAATAACGACACAAAATCAGACTTCAATACTATCTATTTTTATTTATTATCAGGAAGATGGCCCCGTGATCTCCTAATGTAAACTTATCATTAGAGTGCTACCATTGGGTAGTTACTCAGCAAGTGTTTTTCATGTCATTATATTCATTATGTTCTAATTTACTAGATGTATTTATTTAATACAGTTGTAAATGTCTTTGAAAAATAAAAAATAAAAATTTATTATTAAAAAATTATCTACCTTTTCTTTTCACACAAGATCTCAAACTATTGATTTATATATCCTATCCTATAAAACCACTTCGTTCAGCCAATCCCTTGTCATTCATTCGTATTAGCTCCTTTTGGAACTCCATAACTATAGACATACGCAAATCCAGGTCTATAAATTCCTTCAAATAACTCCTATTCCATCACCTATTTTATATTCAACCTTCCTTTACAGTGTAGTAATTATTGTTGTAATTATAATTGTTTATTAACAATTAATTGACAATTTATATTTTATTTATCTATTTTTGGCCTTTTATATTAGTTTTATTTCTGCATGTCAGACTAGTGTACATATACTCCGTGGTACAGACCCCTTTTTATCAAATAGTTTCATCTCATCGTAATCTACAACTATTTTATTTACGAAAATTCTCGAAATTGGGGCGTTTTCAATCTGGAGGGGGCAAACTTTGTCTATT